TATGACTTCAATATCCAGAAAGGGTAGCCGTTCATCCTCCTTCACCTCCATTGTGAATTTAATTATTTCGTCAAGTTAGTTAATAAAATTGAGGAATTCATTTAGATTTTCCTTACCATGTGACCAAATTACATAGTAGTCATCCAAGTATCGCATGAGCTTTCTTGGTTGCAGTGGTGACTTCTCGAATTCCCTTTCCAACTTGTCCATGTATACATTTGCCAAAACAGGTGAGAGTGGAGATCCCATCGGTAGTTCAAATATTTGCTCGTAGATACTGCCGTTAAATGTAAAATATGTCGTCCTTACTGTCAGGTTTATCAGTCATGTTAACGATTCTTTCCGTATCCGTTCTGCCTCCAGGATGTCTTCTTCTCGCTCCAATATCTCCAGCAAGGCGCTTACCGCCTTCTCGCCTGAGATGTTTATGTACATGGATTGTACATCAAAACTCACAAACAGTTCCGTCCCTACCAACCTAATGTTCTGGATTCTTTGAGAAAATTCATATCAATTCTTAACGGTATTCGAGAGTTTGTCATTTACTTTCTTGAGCTTTAAGCAAATGAATTTCGCTAGTTTATGCATTGCTTCATGCTTGTTGTTGACTATTAGTCTTAGAGGATTCCCTTCCTTACACACAAGGAAGGGAATCTACTCAATTTTTTAAAATAAATAGATCATCTTTTGATTTCACTTTTTGTTCTTTTTTGCATTCAATTGTATACATCCATGTTATCTTCTATCCTTGTTCCATAAATTTTATATGGATGCATTTTTACAGTGCTTCCATGATTTTTAGCTAAAAGTATATTTGATCTCTCTAATATGCTCCCACTTAGCATTCTTTCCGTCTATACTATACTATACCATACTTTATTTTATAAATAAAATTCGCCTATAATTGCTCAAAATTTCAAGCGGTTTTGAGGCATAAGCAATGTTTATTTATTAGCCACGCTGCTTACTTAGTAAATTTCAGTCACTGGCTCTCAAGCCAAGGTGTTAGCGGTGGAGAATCTATATGAGACTTTTTAGCAAACAACCCCAAATTATATTCCTTATCATCCTATAAACTTTCGTTCTTTCTGCGCTCGCTTTTCGCATGCTAGGGCATCCAGCTTAACCGAGTGGAAATAGATCTCAACGATGCTGATAGCGGGTCGCCAGGTTCTGGGCCTATTGAACCCAAAGGCAAACGGCTGAAGCAGTATGATCTTTCAACAAACTCTGACAAGCTTTGGCGTGACACTCGAGGCCTCCAATTCTCCGACGTAGCAGAGGCTATTCAAGAAGAAGTAGTCATCCTGCGAGATTATGAGCGAAGAATGGAAGAGCTAAAACAGTCGATGGAGCTCGGAAACAGCAATGATTCTGCTGCATTCGGCATTCTTTCTGATAATACTTCCAAACTAACCAATGCAATCAGGTAACATTTATTCCCTCCCAAAAGTAAGGATCACTGTTTTTCGGTCATCTCTCGTTATATTTTTCTCTTTACATTACAGTTTAATTGGCACATTTTAATTATTAATATTAATGAAACACTGTTGTTTGAACCCACAGGCCAATCATTTTTAATAAGATATAGCAGAAGTTTGGACCAGCTACATAATGTTGAACAAATTTCGTAGTTTCTTTCGGTAATTAATTACTTTAATTTCAGTAATTAATTTTCTCAGCATACTTCCAACATAGTGCTTCCCGGATTTCCAAAATCTAATGAATATACTTTTTTTTAAATTTTTGTGTGCCCCTGGAGAAGTTTATCTAGATTTTCTTTGTAAAGATTTATGAGAGAGTAAAAAATGCATACAAAATATGCAAATTCAAGGAAATTGGCTT